GAGAATGTATCTCGTCAGCAAGAACAATAACAACAACGATGATGATGACGATGAGAGAGAGAGGGAGAGACAGAAAACGGGCAATCTATGTGTTCGTGGGACTTTTTTTTCTTTACGTGACTAAATGGCCATGTAGAAACCATGTATGATTGTTTACACACCCTTACTAGTTCGTTGGGCTTTTTTTTTGGTTGCCCCGCCCATGTCCTCTAAACCCCTCCCTAGACAAACACGGGCGTGTCAAGAGGGCAAGCCGGAAGGAGGGAGGAGAGAGGAGCAGGAAGACAAAAGGGTAAAGGAGAAAAGAGAGAGAGAGAGAGGATAGGGAGTGGCCTAATGCGGGTGGCAGTACCAAGCGAGGAGGAAGCGCTGAAACACGAAACATTTCTTGATCACGCTTTTTTAGGGTCTTCGCCAAGGTAGCTGGTTTCGTAACCCGCGCCTGTATGTACTCATGTTACCCCGTCCTGTCACATCCCTAGGAGTAGCTGTCTCTCTCCCCACACCCACACGTAAGCACGCACGATGAGCAAAAGGTAATATGGAATATATATTATTTACAACGGCAAAAGCAACGTAAAAGAAAAGATCTCAAAAAAAAACAAAAAAAAGATGGTCAGAACTAAACAAGGTCCGGGGCGCCTGTTGTGCGCGCGCCTGGCGTTTTGCTGACTCTGGGGGTGTCATTGTCTGTGTGTCCCCAGCGCGCGGGTTAGTTAGATTTGGTAAGTGTCAGATCGATGCCGGAGCGCGCTGGGGGAAGGGAAAAAGATGAAGCATATTCGATTCGGTTCGAAACAAGCTTGTTTGAGGAGGAGGGGGTTTAGATGAGCAAGTTTAACTGGAATGGAATAACTCGTGCTAGTAAGTAAAGTACGTGTGGATAATGTATGTGGGGGCGCAACACCGCATTGGCATGCCCGTGGGATTCCAGGCTAAGAGGGCTTAGCGGTCAGAGAGGGCATTGGTCCTTGGTTTGCGCACACTTCTGCACTTGGTGTCTCTCCCACCGCGTGCAAGGGTGTGGGTGTCTGTTTCGCCGTCCACGGTGGATCGCTTTACGAAGCTTGATGGCAGTGTGGGGATGCGACACACGTCAGATGGGCGATTGTATGCCCTGTGGTTGGTGCTGAGGCCAAAAGGTAGGCCAGGGTCCATTGGTTACTCGCTAAGGTATGACCATGAGTGGCAGTGACTATCCAATGCGTGACGCCGTGTGTGGAGAATAAAGAGGCGAAGAGATGCGGATGCAGAAAATGGCCAGACTATTGCTGGAATGTTTTGCAGTAGCGGGGCCGAGGGAGGGCTCGTGATGAAGCAGAGACCGTGTTTGTAGTCTATTTTTCTTATTGTGTTTATTTCTTGCTTTTCATGCTATTTGCATCTTGTTTACCGCCATTTGCGCGTGCGACCTACGGGTGTGGTCGGGTACTGCAAGCTGGGTTAAGACGCATTATCCAAGTATGTACGTATGTACTATGTACACAGTAAGAAAGTTCCCAGAACATTGGCAACTCAGCCAGGCGCCCGGTCGTGTTCACGGCGGTAATCCCGTTGTACATGATAGTCAAAGGACCATTAGGCGTTCAGCAGCTGGAACACGCAATGGCGGTGGGTCTCGGCGTGTAATCAACTTTGAGCGCAGCGCAATGGAGGGGTTAGCAGGCCATGGCAGAGGGTGGCACCGCGGCCAAACCAAGGGCTGCGCAAGCAGCAGGGTAGTTCGTTTCATGTTCGTTTGCCCAGGCTACGTTTGGGGGGATTCTGTCGCGAAGGATGGGTTTGAGATTAATGCAGAGTGGTCTGTACCGCGGCTGGATGGGGGATGGTTGGCCGGGGGGAGCAATGGCAGCGAGGCGTCGCAGGTTAAGGCTCGCTTGCGCTTACCCTTTCTCTGCTCGTCGTGAACAGCCACGACGATGGTCATGATGATGATGAGTGGACAGATATGGCTCAAGGCGAGAGTCTGATGACGGAATTCTGCAGCAGATTGACAGGCGGTCATCATGGCAGATGGCGTCCCCCATACGGGCCGTTGATGGGCAGTCAAACGCCGCAGATCGAGAGAGCCAAGGCATGTACAAGTGCCGGATGCAGCGACGGTGGTATCTTGCAAACGCACTAGGCAGTTTTGCACTCTCTGTTGCCCGGCCGCCTGTATAGTAGTAGTCGTAGTAAGAAGTAAGAGAGGGCATAAGTAAGCAACAAAGGCAGAATGGTACCGAGGCGTGGCCGTTGGGCGGAGTAGTGTAGTGTAGGTGGGTAAGTAGTGGAGTGAGTGGTTGGACTGACTGCACCTCCATCAAAAACCAACAAAGAAAGACGCCGCTCCGCCGCGCAGCCAACCCGCGTGCCCAACACGCTGAAGATGGAGTGCAGATGGAGTGGTGAGTGGTGGGTGGTTATCTCTGTGTGTGCGGCGGCTCCAATCAGAGGGGCGACGGGCGTGTGAGTGCAGCAGCTGAAGCATAGCAGACCAGGGCCGGGGTTTGAGCAGCGTGGGCCTGTTGAGATCAGCGGCCAGGCTCCTTCCTTCCTTCCCTTCGCTCGACTCCGCGCCATCACAGGGCCCGTGCCCCCGATGCCTATCGTCCACCCATTTTTTCCCTGTCCGTCCGCGCCAGCTTAAGCGCAAAACGCCTTTCTTCATTCTCGTCGTCTTGGCTGCCACGCCCCATACTTTAACGCTCAAGTTCCCACTCTGTGTTTGGGCTTTTTTTTCTCTTCCCTGACGTGCCCGTCTGCTGGACTAAACAATTCTAGATCTTTTTTTCCCTCGTCGCTATAGTTTTCTTGCTCTCGATTTAATCCTGTGCGGCACACATCCACCCCACGTGCCCTACTTCCTATTCCTGGCTGGTCCCTTTACTTTCCTCCCATTCCTCTCTCAGCATAACGCCCTTGCCGACTAGTCCTACATGTCATCCGGCGTAATCGTCTAGACAGGAGAAAAAATATTCTAGATCCCGTGTTTATATAAAGACTGAAAAATGCGCCGCCAACTCCCTCCCACCCATCTCAAGGTTCCGCCAGGTCCCCATGCGTTTCCACGGCAACAATTCATTGGACAAGAGACTGTTGTTGTAAACCACTACGCGGGAATTGAAAAGGCAATTCCAGCCATACCGTCGCTACCGGGATTCAGAACAAGTGCAGGTAGGTTGGGATTCTCAATTCTGGATTTGACGTGGTGGAGGAAAATACGTGGTGGTTGGAGTGTCTATGTACTAACAGCCAACAACAGCTTTCCTCACTTCATTGAGCGCCAATCTCAGAATCGACCCAGACCTCCCTTCACCACTACCCACGCCAACAAATTTCCGTCTAAACACCTTTATCCAACCAGTGCCTCCAACCTCACTATCCTACTCAACATCCACCGCCCCGTACAACCCCTACGTATCTACCGCTGAATCGCACGTCATGTCGTCGACCGAAGCGAGTGCACCAGAAAAGGCACCTGCCGACGAGCTGCCCCAACTTTCCACCTACACGGCTGAAACCGAAGATGACCGTATTGAGGGCCTGCGCCTAGTCGCCGACTCGGTTGCACAACAGCGCCAGGTCGCCAGCAAGATGATGATGTTCCACCCTATCTCGCTAGCCACCTACTTTGTCGCCGTGGCCATTGCAGCACAGTACATGCTCCGGTGGTACGAGGACAAGTTGATGCTCGTCACCACCATTGGCGGCATCAGCATGACTTTCCTAATCTTCATTCGCTGGATGACTGGCGGCTACATTAGCCTGGCAGAGGACATCAACATGGACTGGCTCGGTGATGACAGGTTGATTGTGGTCAAGTGGGGCGAAGACGTCATTGGCTCTTTAGTCTTGGGTTGGGCAGACAACGATGCCGCAAAGAAGCGTGGCAGGAGAAGGAGGGGCAAGGCCGTTGTGCGCGCTTGGACGGTCAAGCTCAAGTACCGCGGCAAAGGTGTTGGTGAGGGTCTTTTGGAAGAGGCAGTCAGGGTTGCGGGCGAGAGGGGCGCAGATGGCATTCTTTTCGATCCCGACCATGCCAGTAAGTTTTATCGCTACGATACACTCCTCTCGATCAGGTTGCTAACAATGACCACTAGACTCTAAGCGCATCCTGCCTCTCATCTTCAACGGATTCATCAACAAGCAAGAGGCCAAGGCCGAAAAGGCCCTGCAAAAAGTCGCAGACGCAAAGGGCAACTTTCGCCAGCGTCAGAGCTCCCCTACCTGGGGAAGCAGATAGAAGATTATGTTTTCTATTTATTTATTTTTCATTTACTGCAACTTCTATCTTAAGGACAAAGCAGCAGGAGTTTTTTTCGGGCTTTCATTATTTGTCGCTGCAGCAAGTTTGCTGTCTCGGAAGATACCCCACACACATTCCTCTCGTTGATCGATGATACCCACCATACAATCGCTATTCTCGGCCATCTACTATGACATTTAGTTTAGCAACTATTTGCGCTCCTAATCAAGATACGTTATCAAGCATCTGTCCATCTTTTACCTAGTTCATAACTATAACAACCGAGTAGTATAGATGGTGGCATACTATGCTTTATCTAGTCGACTCGTTCGATGATGGGGTGTCCTACGATTTAGTTGCATAAAAGACGGCCATCTCCGTGGACCTGGTGACTTGTTGGTGTACTGTCTATGTACGCCACTTTGAGTCAGGATACATCGCGCATTGATCCGTACATTCTATCTGCCACACACCAACACACCAACTCACATGCACTTGGCAAATCCGGTGTGATTGCTACCCGGTGAATTCCTATCTCAACACGCTTCCCCTACTCCCTCCCAAGCCCTGTAAGACGCAAACTACACCCTGCAAATGCGTACTGATAACCGTGCATAAGCCTTTGATACAAACTAACCGGCCCCAGCGGTACCATTAACTCTCTCTGGTTCGTTAGCAACCCGCCCTTATTCTTTTTTTTTACCCCGCGGTTACGTCGCATACCCATTTTACCTTTTACCCCTCCATTTCCCCCCCCCCCTCGGCCCCTCCCCTAGGATATTAGCGCTTTCCCGGTTTCCCTTGTCTTGTTTTGTTTTTGCACCCCCCACCCCTCCCAGGGAATAATGCAGGCCAAGTCAGGCCATAGATTCGGGAGGGAGGGGAGGAGAACCAAGATACTGGGCGCTTTTTTTTGAATGTTGGGGAGGGAAGTAAAGTCAGGCCGTTCTAGATGCAACGACCAACTGATAACGTTTTTTCTTGGGCGTGAGATGATCACCCCGATTGTTTGTTTCCCTTCCCCCCAGCCACCCCTCCTTCTCTCTCTCATACGCTCCCTCGCCGCGTCAGCTGGCTCTTTAGCAACCTAATCTCGCAATGACGCGGCTGCTCGCAATAACCTTTGTTATAAAGAAAAACCAAGGGTTGTAGTTTCATACACACAAAAAAAACACTCCCGGACGCCTATTTGAGGATGTAGTATTTCGGGCTTTCCCAATTCAGCGCGCAGGTGCTGCACCCGCCTCTGTATCTCCATCTACCGAACTCGTAGGATACTCTTCGCGCAGCTGCAGTATCACTTTCTGTCGGTCCGCGAGTTAGCCAGATCCAACCAACCACATCTCTCCATCTCTCTTCTTCTTTTTTTGGGAGTTGGCCGGCAGTAAATGCCGTGTAACATAGACTATAATAGAAAATTACCCAACGGCGGACAATGCGGACCCGCGCGCGAGGGTTGTTACTGTGCCACAGTGGGATGGAAAAAAAGTCACGGGGTTCTTGTTCGCTAAACGTACCGCCAAAGCCTCTGGGTTCGCGCCATTTTCAATCAATGACACGCAATATGATAGTTGCTGCCGATCGAGATGCGTGTTCTAAAGCCGAAAGTTTTAGTTGTTGGGCGGGGGGCCTTTTTAGATTGGGGAGGAGCGGGGAGGGGTGTGCTTGCATACTTACCAGCAATGTTGCAATTTCGTGAAGAATGTCGATGACTTCTCGAGCAGCCTTTCTACGGGCGTCTGCTGATGTTTGTTCGGCGGCTGGCATTTTTGGGAGTTTTCTACTTTTTTCTCTCTCTCTCTTTCGGTCTTCTGGGTAATAGAGAAAATAGAATGTCTGTGGTCGTGTGGGTAGCGGATGTCTGTTTGTTGACAGCCGTCTTGGGGGCGCGATGACCCTAGGGAACGCGGCGCGACTTTGGCACGTGACCTTCCTTGGCGGGTGTTACTTCTCTGTCGTGCTTTCATAGAAAATAAAAATCGAGACTACGCTCACGGTGTTTCGTAGAGACAAGGCCACTCGATTTCTGACTGTTTATTTTTCTACTTCATAGTACTTGTTTTAACTTTTTCAAACGAAAGCTCGGAAACCGGTCTTCGATGACATCGACATATCCAGCTCATAGCATCACCATTATAACGACGAGACATGGCCTACCACTGCTTACACATTTAACAACGGCTACACAACGGATACTCGTGTATTTGTTGTAGATTTTCACCATGACTATAATTGTATTTTACCTAACTAATAACAATAAACTACCAAGCATCCTCTATACTAACTGAACCGCATCCGTAGTATAAGTAAAGTTATTCCCACGTCTATCATCTATGTGTAAACCTCTAGAAATACATATTCAGACTATATTTTGCTTGATTATTCTTTTTCTAGAGATTTAGAGATCTAAAGAAAAGCTAACCAGTTGGGCAAAACACAATTGCAGACTTGGTGCAATTCCGGCTAACACACTGCTCTATATAAATTGCTCACACTACTAAACTCTTATTCTCTCCATCGTAATCTCCTAATCAGTCTACCTAGACCTATAACCCATCCCTATTCCTCCACTCTTCTCTCACCAACGTCGTTAGAACCTTCACTTGCACCACCACTTCCCACCGCAAGAATTACTAGACCCGCGGCGTTATTTCTACTAATCAGTTGATTAATCAGTTTAAAGTCTATATAAACCTTCTATAGGGCGTATATACCAGCAAATGATAGAGCTTACAGGCGCCTAGAATACCTAGTTAAGAGCGATTATCTCAAAGGTCACAAGCCTCGTAGATATTTCCTTCTACTAGTCAAGCAGCCTTGTCACACCATTGTATTACATACGAATGTACTGGCTTCATTGATTTTATATATATATATATATATATATCTTCTAACGGGTTCACGCTTCTCTCTTGATCCTATACGAAATAAGTTGAAACTTTTTTTAAAGAAAACATTATAAATTTGAATGATAAGTAGAAACCATCTTGTCTCAATAATAGAGAGGGGGGGGGGGGAGAGAGAGAGAGCTCGTAGTAAGGCTACACGAAAAGTGCTATAATAGCTTCTAAGCTTTCACCAACTATTGATATCTGTCGGGCCTTCAACCTACCAGGTGCGTTTCCCGCACCACCAAGCCACCGTCGTTCCCGCCGAAATACGACTGTACAAACGGAACCTATATACCTCCTGTTATGTAAGACCAGCGGTGCAAGATATGCAATGCAATTAGAGTGGTTTAAGCTGGATAAAGGGGTGTATGTGGAGCGTGTGGCATAGAGGTTGAGAAAGTGAGCGGATATTTGGCCTGGTATCTCCCTTAACATACAAGCAGACTATTCTTGTAGATAACTCTTATTCGAAATTCTGCTTTATAACCTACGTAAACATATAATTTTCGATCTTACTGCTACCACCAATACTCATGGACTCCCCACGAAGCCACTACCGCCAGCCCAATACTGCAGGAAGAGAGAATTTGGGACGGCATAGATACAGAGCCGTAGTTAGAGGAGCATTGTGAGGGATGTGACTTTACTTGCTTGTGTATGTTTAGCGCATGTCGTATCTGATCTTTTTTTCCAGTAAAAATGGCAGGCCACGCCTCAACCTACCGGAAGCGGGTATCAAAAACATGACTTCGTAGTTAGGGTAAAGATTCGAGCAAGAAGTCTGTACTCAAACCTCGGGGTTTCAGCTCTGAGATCTATGACGGGTATATGTTGTGTATGTGTGCCAAGGGGAGTGGTATATTTTAGACGGGGTTACAGGAAGACTTGTTTATTTCGTGGGTATATCGTAACGGGTATAATCAGGCTATCCACCATTCACCGTCTTTTTTTTCATATACACAGGGCGTGGGCAAACAGTTCAAAGCACTAGATCACCATCTCGCCCTGTTCCTCATCCCCAACACCAGCCTCATCGCCTGGATCCCCTTCCTCATCCAAATCTTCGAGAGGATACGTTAATATAGCAGCGACATTACCCAGTCCCTCCAACCTCTTGCCACTCTCGTGTAATGAGCTAAGAACCCTTACCTCACCACCTTCCACGTCTCGTACTTGGTCAACCAGCTTGACCCATCTCCTTCGCTCCTTTACGTTTTGCGCACGGAAAAGTACATTGTTGATTAGAAGCACGCCGCCGCCTCTCCCGACAGCTCCCTTGGCAACTGCACGTTCCACCTCGCGGGGACCGTACCATGCGCGGCCATCGTCGAGGCGCATGAGTGTGTTGAATTTGTCCATGAGGGCCGTCTCACGGGCGAATTTAGTGTCGGAGAGTTTTGCGGTAATGGCTGGAGAGGAAAGGACTTCGTTTAGAGAATGTATATGGGCTGACGAGGAATGCGCGACGATGATGGAGGGTATTAAAGCCATTAGCGGCTTGTTTGTTGTTCTTGTTGCTTCTTCTTTGATGTACTGAAGAAAGGCTGTGGCGACGAAGCCGGGGCTGGCGAGGAGCAAGGGAAGTGTTTTGCCTTGTGTCGAGTTTGAAGCATTTGGGAGGTCGATTTGGCGGAGGAGCGTAGAGAGGGTGGTGGAAAAGAAGCGCTCCATGCCTTTGCTGTGGCCATCGACGCCACCCCTGCGTTTCCTGGGCACAGGGACTTCGACCTTCTGGCGCAGAATAGTCTGGTGTTCTGTAATCATGCATATGTTTGCGACGCCTTCGCCCAGCACGACTGCCCATAGCTCTGCGCGTTTCGAGGCGTCGCATGCCTCCTTGAGCTGCTCAAGAGCGATGCTGTCCCAACCATCTGCCTTTTCTATTGTGAACTTGCGGTTGAGCTCCAGGTCCAGCGTGTGGTGCTGCCCCAGCTTGACGTGCTCATTTTCCTTTGCGACGCGGCCAGACACATGCAGCTGTTCGGAGCCAATATCAAAGTCGGTCGAGGTAACGGTGATGGTGAGGTCAAGGGTAATGCGCTGCGACGAGGTGGAGCCGGCATCAGATGTCTTTGAGACACGGCGCACTGCTTTCGCGCGGATCTGGTCGTGCTCCTGGATGAGGTTGTAGGCATGCCACATATCCTCAGGTTCCTCAGGCAGCAGCGTGGCGAAGCCGGCGCCTGTCTTGTGTTCAATCTGGCTCTTGAGCAGCTTCATGGCGGAGCAGTGCACCAGGCGGCTCTGGTGTGTTGCTGCAGTGATGTATGGCAGCGCACATACATGGAGTATGGTGGAGTTAACTTTTGCCTGGTAATGACGCAACCATGGATGGAGGGGCGATCGTAGCCCCCACGCCTGACCCTAAGCGTGGGGGCTAGAGACCAACCCTGATAAAGTTTGTACCTCGCACCCTGCATCAACCCTTCTTTGGTCCCCTCATGCTTACATACATATGTATGCACATGTAAGTATAGTCAGGACGCTAACACGATACTTTCGCACCAACGGAAATACACGCCCCGCGCCCGATACGGGCACTCTGTCTAAACGACCACTCACCACCCTAGACGCGTATAAGCGGAAATTCCAAGACCGAACGCAAGGATGGCATTATGTTGCTTTACAGGCTCTTCGCAAATAGTGTGTGACATACTTATATATCGAGCACCTTGGCAGCATCATTCAGGTCACACCACCGTCAGGTCAACAAATTAAAATACGCTGCATGAGTGCAATTACAAAAAACCTATTTACAAGAATTCCGCAAACTCAAATCCACTCCACCTGCTTTACCTTTTCTACCTCGCCTTGATGATATCCGCAGCCTTCTCACCAATACCATACATGGTGGCCTGGAGATGGCAAGATGGGATGAGGGGGATGATTGAAGCATCGACAACAGACAAGTGCTGAGTTCCATACACGAGCAGCTTGTCGCTGACACAGCCACCATCCTTCTCAGCCATCATGGAGCAAGTACCCGCAGGGTGAACAAGGGAAGGTTGAAGCATGGATTGCTTGAGGAGAGCGTCGAAAATCTCCTTGTCCGTCTTGAACTGCGCACCAGGAACTGTCTCGCTGATCTTGTAGCTCTTGAGCTCGGGGCGCGCCCACACGCTACGGAAAAAGCGGAGACCGATCGACATGATCAGACGGTCCACAGGGTTCACAAAGGCATTGA